TGATCCATCAGTGTATATCTTAATGCGGTCATTGTGTTTGTCTGGAATAATGGACAGTGCTATATGTTTTGCAGCGATAGGATTTTGTTTTTTGTCAGTTTCTTGTAGAATTGCTGTACTGATTGTGGGTGCTACTAGTTTCCAGGGCGGAGTTGGGTTGGAATGGAATTGTGCTATTTTGATGTCTAATTTGTGCTCTGATAGGAGTGAGTGTATTATGTGATAGTATAGAGGTTTGTTTTTTTGTTTTTTTGAAATGTGTGTTTTTTACTTGTGTAATTAGTTTGTTGGGTGGAAACTGTGTGCCATGTCCTTGTGTCCTAGCCCAGTATTTGAGGATGAGCGTGTTGCGTCTTAGTTGTAGTGGTAATTCGCCAGCCTCTGTTAGGAGACTGACTGCTGGTGTGTTTTTGATAGCACCTAGAGCTATTCTAAGTGCTTTGCGTTGTAAAATGTCTAGGGTGCGGAGGGCATTGTCTGAGGCTGTATTGTATACCTGGGAACCATAATCGATAATATAATCGATAATGGATCTAATGAATACTCTATAGATTTTGAGTAATTTCTTTTGTTGGTACCCCAGGTGTTTCCGGTAATAAAGGTGAGAGTGTTCAAACTTTTTTGACACCTGTTTTTGATAGAATTGATATGAGGAACCCATGTTAATTTCCGATCGAATTTCATTCCTAAATATCTCGTTTCCTTGACCAATTTAATTTTCGAATTGCCTAGGTATAATTAGGCTTCTCTGTGGCGCCTTGAATTAGTACGGCTTGGGAGATTTTGAAGCCCCATACATCAGCCCATTCTTGTATATTTTTGTCTGTTGTACTGTTGTGCATGTGTGTTTTATGGTGTTGTCTGAGTGCCAAACACTAGTGTCGTCTGCAAATTGACCTACAGAACCTATTTTTTTTTTATTGTCTAGCCTCTTCAAGTTTCCTGTCTAGTTTATTGATGTATATATTAAATAGGGTGGGGGATATCACACTACCTTGGGGGACTCCATTTTCTAGAGTTTGTTCTACCGAGTGTTCGTTATTAACTATGACTGTTATAGTCCTATTCTGTAGAAAGTTCGATATAACCCTAAATATGTTTCCTGTAATTCCTATGTCCTTATGGGATAGCAGTAGACCCTCATGCCAAATTAGGTCGTATGCTTTTTCTAGATCTAGAAAAACAGCCAGAGTGTGTCTATTCTTACTAAGGGCGTTTTTTTTTTATATCAGATGATATTCTAATTAGGGAATCGAGAGTTGACCTACGGTTCCGGAAGTCACTCTGGTTTTCACCAATTAGATTATTACTGGAAAGGTAGTGTTTGAGTCTATTGTTTATCATGGTTTCTAGTGTTTTACATAAATGAGAGGTAAGAGCTATAGGTCTATAGGAGGACGGATCTTCTTTGTCCTTACCAGGTTTAAGTAAAGGGATGATTTCTGCTTTATTCCAAATTGTGGGGTATGAGCCAGATTGCCAAATATAATTTATATGTTCGATGGGCAATTTTGTAGTACGACATAGGATAGTTTATCTATTCCTGGCGATTTAACTTTTTTGCTTAGGGCCCTACGATATTCACCTACTGAGAAGGGGATGTTTAGGTCAGAGGTGTTGGAGCCAGGGTCGGAGATAGCAGTAATAATGTCCGGGGAAATTTTCTACTTTATTTATGAGGAACGTTTTTGTGCAATTATTATTACTGCTTGCAGTTTTAAATTGATTGGCCAAAATGTTTGCCTTTTCGGCGTTAGTCCTGCCCTCTGCCTGTTTGCCTAATATGGGCATGACGCTAGGTAGGTTGCCTTTTATAGATGTGATTTTTGACCAAATGTCTTTATTATTGGATTTATTGTTGAGGGAATTGCAGAACTCCTTCCAGTGTTTTTCTTTGTGTTGTTTGCAAATTTTATTGTATTTGTTTTTTGCGGTTTTGTAGTTTTTTATGTTTTGACTGGTGGGATTCTTCTTTACGATATCCTCCCACCTGCGTTTTATTTTTTTGTGTGTTGTACATGTTTCGTTCCACCAGGGGTTGTGTTTTCTGATTTTTTGGTTTCCCTGATGTTTGTGTTATATATAGTTTTGCGATTTTTACTAGTGTGTCTGTGAGATTGCTGGTGTATGTGTCTATGTTTTTGTCTTCTGTTGACTTGTGTGTTATTTTTGTGCAGTGCTTTTTAAACGATGTCCAGTCAGCTTTGTGAAATTGCCATTTTGGTGGGAAGCTGATGGCGTTTCATATTGGTTTTAATGTAAATGTAGTGTGTATTGGGAAGTGGTCTGAACCTAGGGCGCTGTCGTGGGTAAACCAGGAGGAAAGGGAGGTAGCAATTCCCGGTGACGCTAACGTAAAATCTATGTGGGACTTATTTCCCGTACCTGGATCTATTCTGGTGGCCGAATCGGGATCATCTAGCATGATCAAATCGTAATAATTTATCCAATTTAGTAATGTGTCACCTCTTTTATTGGTACTTTTGCTACCCCACAAAGTGTTATGGCTGTTAAAATCTCCGGAGATGATATAATTGTCATAATTTTTGAAGATGTCCGAAAGGGCTTCAAGATTTTGATTTTCTAGTGTGTAGCCATGGCCTATATATATATATTAAAGAAGGCTATAATTTTGTTATTACTATGTACTTCAGCGCCTATAAGCTCGATGTTTTCTGGTATTTTCGGTATTTTTATGTGTCTGTATGCAATGTCATTTTTTATGTATGTTGCTAGTCCTGTTGTTTTGGAGTTTTGGACCAGTGGTTCGTAATATCCTGCTATCCTAAGGTGTTTTCTGTTGCGATTGATTTTTGTTTCCTGGATGTGTATGATGTCGATGTCGGTATTTTCGGATAGCAGGTGTCTTAGGTTGTGAATGTTGCTGTGTAGTCCACGGGCGTTCCAGCTGAGAACAGACAGGGCGGCCGTGGACTTTTTATTCGTATGTTCTGTCATTGCTGGTGTTTATTATGTTGTGTTGGGAGGGTAGGGGGTGTGGTGATGTTTTAGTATTTGTAATTTAGTTTTTGTTTTGTTCTGTTAGACGTCCTAGATGGACGTTGTGGGGTGTTTGGTGGTTGCTTGATGTGTTTTTTTTACTGTACTTTTTGGTGAGTTTCTTACCAGTGGTATTTTGATTGGGGTTTTGGGTGTAGATTGTGTGGATGAGATTGATGGTGATTTGTTTGATGGTTCGGGTGTTGTTGTAGGTGTGGTGTCTACTGTTTCGTTGTCTGAAATGTTTCAGAGTCTGTGGCCTCGTTTTCGGGTGGTGTATTTGGTGGTTCGCTGCGTGTTGCGTTGTTTGGGGTCGAATGTTTGACTGATGTTTCATTCTGTGTTTGGTGTATAGGAGTAGTAGGGTGTGGTTGTGTGGGTGTAGGATTTGTTTCTGTTTCCTTGTCTAATGTTATGTCTAATCCTATGCCTAATTCTGTTATTAGAGTGTTGTTAAATGTATTGAATAGTTTGGTTGGATTTTGATCTAAATTGGATAGGGCCATAAAAAGTGCTCCTATTGAGTTTATAAATTGTTGTTTGGTGATTGGGGTGTTTCCTATGTTTGCTGGAGCTTGTTTAATGTGTATATTTTGTATTTCTCCGTTGTGTAGTTTAAAATCTGTGTTGAATGTTTTGGTTGTTGTCGATTTTGGTGTGGAGGATGTCGCTTCAGTGTATGTTTTGTTAGTTTGTTTGTGGTTGGTTGTAGTTTTGTTTTTAGTGAAGTATGGTGCGACTCTGAGGAATTGATTATCGGGAAAAATGTCCCAATATTTGCTGCAAGCCAGGAGTGAATCTACAGTGTCCAAGTACTTTTCATATTTCCGGAAGTGGGAGGATTTTATTGTGCGAGAGCACGCGTGTGCATTACCGGCCCAGCCAATATACGTGGCCTTACATGTGTCTTACCTGTTGGACAAAGGGAGTTCTTACAACGTCGTTAACGCCGCTGTATATGCAATCAAATGGGCCCACAGCATTAGTAGCTTGCCTGATCCTACAGAGAACGGTTTTGTCAAAAGCATGGTCGAAGCAGCCAAACGTCAGGAAAGGACCCCGCGCGTGAAGAAAGACTGTCTCGTCGGAACTGTTAATACAACTTTGTAAGAAATATAAAGACAGTAATGACGCTTTAATAGTCAGAGACTTGGCAATGATAGTTGAGCAGGTCGCGTATGAGGGATGTTGCGTTTAGAGATACGTATGTAAGTCTTAATATTGAGAAGAGTAAAACTGATCAATATAGGTTCGGGAGTGAGGTAGTGATTTCAAAAGGAGAGACTGTGGCGTGCCCGTACCGAATGCTTGTTAAGCATTATCTTAGAACCAAATGACTTTCTTTTCAAACCTTTCGTACGTAGCGGAGGCGTATGTAAGCCAATTTTAAAATGTAAGGCACTTAGTTATACTCGTGCAAGGGAGTGTGTGGTGCAGAGGTTGAAGGAAATAGACGGGGGTCTGAATTTAGGATTACATTCTTTAAGGGCGGGCGGCGCTACGCAGGCGGCTAATAGCGACGTAAATGACAGGTGCTGGAAAAGGCACGGGCGGTGGAAAACCGACGTCGCTAAGGACGGTTATGTCGCTGATTCCTTGGCCCGTAGGCTGCAGGTTACTCAGAAGTTAGGTCTTTAAATGTGTTCGAGCTATTCGTTCTGTTAGGCGTTTAGGCATTTTAGCATTTGTTCAACCTTTTTATCTTATCGCTCGTTCTTTTATAGTCTATTGTCCACTACTGGCTAGCGGCAGTCATGTGTTGGAGTTATTGTTAGGAGATGAGTATAAAGAGGACTTTCATATTTTCCGCGTTTCGGAGAATAGCGGAAAATAATTGTCCTATAGGTACGGTATTCGGGTATCTTCGTGAGAGTTGTATTGTCCAATGGGAGTGCGACGCGTTGTCCGCACGTGCAAGTTAAGAAAGTGTGTAAGGGTAGGCGAGGTATCGGGCATTCTAGCCGTGGACACCCACAAGTACAGTCAAGAGACATTTTGTATTACATTTTTAACTGTATTTATTTCAGTACGGAATGGCTTTGAGTTGTTAAAAATCCAACGCGCTGAGCTTTAAGCATTGAGGGTTGGTACACTTCCAGTTTTCCTGATAGGTTTTCAGGTTGAGTGGCTCGCTTAGCTCTATATCTACTCAAGCTCTTCCTGTGCGGAATGTATGCGGGTGTAAGAGTCGTTTGTGGAGTTATGAAAAATGTCCAAGTCTGTAAAGATATGTATTTTTGTCTTTATATTTCGTAATAAACGCCGGGTGACACTCTATTGTCCACTACTGGCTAGCGGCAGTCATGTGTTGGAGTTATTGTTAGGAGATGAGTATAGAGAGGACGTTTAGGGGCAGTTGTTCGTGGTTTTTGTTTTGAATTTTTCTTTACTGTGTTTTGTGGAGAGAGTGGAATGTTGATTGGAGATTTGGGTGTGGATGGTATGGATGGTGATTTAATGGGTGGTTCAGGAGTTGTTGAGGGTGTGGTGTTTGTACTTCGTTTGTTTCGGTGATTGATGTATGGTCTTCATGTATGACTTTTATCGATTTGTGTATTTTGCGGGGGTGTAACTGGGTTTCGGTGTGTGGGAGTGGTTTCTGTTGTTTTTGTTTCTTTGTCTACTGTGACATCAAGACCTATGCCCAGTTCTGATATTAGTGTGTTGTTGAACGTGTTGTAGAGTTTGGTAGGGTTCTGGTCCAAGTTGGATAGGACCATAAAAAGTGATCCTATCGTGTTTATGAATTGTTTGTTTGGTGATCGGTGTGTTCCCTATGTGTGGTGGTGCTTGTTTGATGTGTATATTTTGTGTTTCTCCGTTTCGGAGCTTAAAGTCAGTATTGAATGTTTTAGTAGTCGATGTTGTTGCTGCGACTTTTGCGTATGTTTTGTTTGCATGTGTGTGTTGTGATGTGGCTTTGTTTTTTGTAATGTAAGGTGAGACCTTGATGAAGCGAATTCCGTCAAAGATGTATGGTGGAGGTGTGGCTGCGTTGAATAGTAGAATGACTGATTTGGTGAGTTGGCCTTGTCTGTTTAGCATTCTAGTGGCTTTGAGGATAGTTTTGCTGAGAAATATATTCGGGTGGATGTGTTGTGGGATGTTATAAATGACCCCTCTACTAGTTTTGGTTTTTGTTGGTCGTACATGTGTGTGTGCGTGGGGGTTTGCTGTGTTATATGGCTTGTCTGATATGCGAGTTGTGAAGGGTAGCCCCCCTATAGTTTTTGCTTGTAGGGCGCCCTTGATCTGTGTGATTGTGCTACAGTATATTAGAATGAATTCTGTTGCGAAAAAATGTACCGGTGTGATTCCGGCGTGTTATTGGATATCGGCAACTGCGTGTTTTTGATTGATGTGAAGGTATGGGTGTAGGTTTTTTGTTTGGTGTTAGGTTTTAAAACAACCACCTGTTTGTTATTCATCCTGAAAATGTATGTACTATATAGTAAATTGTGTTTATAGTAAATTGACTAATAGGGTTAGGGTGGGGGGATCTTAGAGGGTTAGTTTTGTAGATTTAGTAATTTCAATTTTCTTGATTGGTTTGTCTATTATGTTTCTAAGATAGTTTGCGGGGCTGACTTGGTGCCAGATATCAGCCCAGGATTTGTCTACTGATTTTTTTATCATTGAGTAGACTTCCTGTTTGGAATGAGCGAATGAATAAGACTTTGTATAATTTGATCAGATTTGCTTTGTTGGTACCCCAATTGGTGCCGGAAATAAATTTAAGTGTGTTCAGACTTTTTTTAACACCTGTTTTTTTTTATAGATTTGATGAGGAACCTATGATAGTTTGCGATCAAAAATCATGCCTAAGTATTTTGTTTTGTTAACAAATTGAATTTCTGTATTTCCTAAATATAATTTGGGTTCCTTTTGGCGCCTTGAGAATAATATGGCTACCGTTTTTATTTTTGAGATTTGAAGGCCCCATTCGTCGGCCCATTCTTGAATAGTGTTAAGTGTTTGTTGTACTGCTGTGTGTGTATGCTTTATAGTGTTGTCGGTGTGCCAAACACTGGTGTCATCTGCAAATTGACCCACCGAACCTATTCTAGTTTGTAACCTAGCCTCTTCTAGTTTCCTATCTAGTTTGTTAATATAGATGTTAAAAAGGGTGGGGGGATAACACACTACCTTGAGGGACTCCATTTTCTAAGTTTTGTTCTGTTGAATATGCGTTATTTACTCTGACTGTTATGGTTCTGTTGTATAGGAAGTTCGAAATAAACCTAAAAATATTGCCAGTGATACCTATATCCATAAGGGATAGCAATAGACCTATGTGCCAAATTAGGTCGTATGCTTTTTCTAAGTCTAGGAAGACAGCCAGAGTGTGCCTATTCTTACTGAGGGCGGTTTTCATATCTGTAGACAATCTAATTAGGGAGTCGAGAGTTTATCTCCGGTGCCGGAAACCACTCTGGTTCTCGCTAATCAGGTTGTTGCTAGATAGGTAGTGTTTGAGTCTATTATTGATCATAGTTTCTAAAGTTTTACAGAGGTGGGAAGTAAGGGCTATGGGTCTGTAAGAGGATGGGTCCTCTTTGTCTTTCCCAAGTTTCAGTAGAGGAAAGACTTCCAATTTATTCCAGGATTTGGGGTATGAGCCGGTTTGCCAAATGTAATTAAAAAAGCTAACAATAATATTGTCTATGTTTTGTGGGCAATTTTGAAGTATAACATAAGATAATTTATCTATTCCTGGTGACGTACTTTTTTTTTTTGCTTAAGGGCCCTGCGGTATTCGCCTACCGAAAATGGTGTATTTAGATCGGAGGAGTTGGGACCCGGGTTGGAGATGTCAGCAATGATCTTCGGGGAATTCCTTTCTTTGTTATCTAGAAATGCTTTTGTACAGTTGCTATTGCTGCTAGCTTTTTGAAATTGTTTTGCTAAAATATCCACTTAATCAGCGTTTGTCTTACCCTCTGCTTGTTTGCCTAATATGGGCATGACGTTGGGGGGGGGACGCAACAACACATCTTGTCGTTGGGCTCTTCTCCAATCCCTTGATGTCATCTTCTCTAAATCACCAACGCAAGGATCCTCAAGGGCATCAGCAACTTGCACAGGTGAACAAAGACTTTCCACAAAGGACAGCGAAGAAGTGATGGACTGACTAACTGCGCGGACAGAATCCATGGTCATCGGAAGCCTGGAAAGTGCATCTGCATCAGCATTTCTTTTGCCTGGTCGATAACGAATGTCAAAATCAAAAACAGCTAACGCAGAAACCCATCTGTGTCCAGTTGCATCCAATTTCGCTGACGTCAAGACATATGTTAAAGGGTTGTTGTCTGTGAAAACCGTGAATCGTTGTCCATAGAGATAGTCGTTAAACTTCTCGGTAACAGCCTATTTAAGCGCGAGGAACTCTAATTTGTTGGCGGGGTAGTTCTGTTCCGATTTGGAGAGTCCTCTACTTGCAAAGCTGATTACTCGGAGACTGTCACCCTGATGCTGATTTAAGACGGCTCCTAATCCCTGTCCACAAGCATCAGTATGGAGTTCAAATGGCTGGTTTGGCTGAGCATATCCAAGTACTGGTGTTGTTGACAAACAGTCCTTAAGCTTCTGAAAGGCTTGCTTCTCAGCTTGACCCCATTTCCAGTCGGAATCCGATTTCTTCTTTGTCTTGTTATTCTTTCCTCCAATCTTGGTACATGCAGGTAACAGCTCGTTCAAGGGCTTAGCAATCTTTGCGAAGTCCTTGATGAACTTCCGATAATACCCTGCAAAGCCCAAAAAGGCACGGACTTCCTCTGGAGTAGTGGGCTCTGGCCAGTTCAGTACCTTCTCAATCTTACTCAGATCCGGTGAAATTCCCTCCTCAGAAATCATATGTCCAAGGTACACTGCTCTCCTTTGGAAAAACTTACATTTCTTCGGAGACAACTTCAAACCACACTCTCTTAATCTCTGAAGTACCTTTTCCAATCGGCGAAGATGTTCCTCAAAAGTGTTTGAAAAGATAATCAGATCGTCCAAGTAAATCAGGCAGATGTTGAGATGAAGATCCCCTAGGCATTCCTCCATTAACCGCTGGTATGTTGCGGGAGCGTTCGACAAGCCAAATGGCATCCTGGTATACTCATAAA